CGAGTGGCACTTCAATCCACCACATGCCAGCCATAGAGGTGGGCTATGGGAAAGACTTATAGGAATTATCAAGCGTATTTTAAGCTCCATAATTAAAAACCAGAGTTTGAATGACGAAACGCTGGAGACATTTTTTTGTGAAGCTGAACGAATATTAAATGACCGGCCGTTATCACCTGTGAGGGACGACGTCAAGGATTTTGATGTGTTAACCCCAAATAAATTATTGTTATTGAGAGGCAACCCTGGCATAGAGGACTCAAGCGGGAAGGAATACCTACGATTAAAAGATGGAAACAAGCCAGGCACATGAAAGATATATTTTGGAAAAGATGGTTAAAGGAGTATGTTCTAACACTGCAAACCAGAGACAAGTGGAAAAAGTTGTGCCGAAACTTAAAGGTTGGTGACATAGTATTAGTAGCAGATAAATGTGCCACAGGTAGGTGGCCTTTGGGAGTGGTAGTAAGGCTACTCTGTAGTGGTGATGGATTGGTGAGGACGGTTGAGGTGAGAACAAGTTGTGGCATGTTGGTGCGAGATATTAGAAAACTGTGTCTACTGGAAGGTGCTGAGAGACGAGAGTCGGAGGATGAAACACTAGACGATTTTCCAACCTAGGGCGTCAACCTGAGAAGGGTTGTAGGCGTACTGCTGTAAGTCCTACAATTCTTCAAAGGGTAGCGCATCAATGAGCAGTCCAATGTGCTTGGTGTGTGATTTTGTACATATGTTCATATTGTATATACTGAATTGATATCATCTGTCATCTAGCTGTTGGTAATTCTGTTTGTGTCCGGACGACTTCCACTTGGATCATCAACCTGAGAAGGAATGTAGGCGTACTGCTGTAAGTCCTACAGTTCTTCAAGGGTAGTTTGTCATGCCAGAATCCACAACATTTGATGTATTGATTGTACATATGTTTGTGTTAAATAATTGAGTGAGTTCCAATTATTGTAATTGTTGGTTAATCTTGATTGTGTCCGGACATTCCACAACTTACAATCGTCAACCTGTGAAGGGTTGCAGGCGTACTGGTTTAAGTCCTGCAATTCTTCAAAGGAATTCCATCAGGACATGATCCGCGAGTTTGTGTGTACTGTTTGTATATATGTGTGGTGTGTCATATCAATTGGTGTTTTTTCGATTCATTGTGTTTACTCGTTGTTTTCGTACCTTGTTGTTATTGCATAATTTTGTTAAAATTTTCGTCGCGATTACTTCTGAAGTTGTTTCTAGTCTTCTACATCCGTGAATGAATTGATTGATGTTAGAGACAGCAGATGGGTCGTATACATCTGGGAGGCTATTGCTGAGAATGAAATGCATGTGGAGATAATTGTTAGCTGTGGTCCCACACGCCGGGGAGAAAGAGTGTAGACGACTGAGGCTCGCATACGTCACCGTTACTAGAACTGAGGCAGAATGAGTGACAAGCGATTGCAGTGGTAATTGGTAGTGAGTAGATAAGAGGATGTGCGTAGAGTATCGTGAGGTGGTGCTATGGTCACGTTGCATTCTGCAAGAGTCATTCTAGCAAGTGGCGATTGTGTTGCAAGAGGATGCCATTAACTGGAAGGCGCAGGTCGTCATTGATGTGTGAGATTGTGCTGTGAGTATGCTTGTGGTGTGTTGGCTTTTCTGTTTGTTCTCCATTTCAGCTCTGTCCATGTGACCCAGGTTCTCGCAATGGCATCCAAGTCAAGGTATATTGGTCGTGATGGAAAAAAGGGATGGATCCCTTTTTTGCCGGGGAGTGTCAATGTAGTTGAAGATTGAACGATCAATTCATGGTTGTTTGCTCAAAACCAACTTCCCCAATTTTCGCGGAGACATCAATACACCAGTCATCGTCTCATCGGTCGCTGTTCAGAAAGAAGTCAGACCAAAACTGTCAGAAGTAATATTGTGATTTATTATTGTAATATTTGTTGAGAGACCTTAGTTGAAGCCTAATTTTTAAGTTGGATATATTGGTGTTACAATAAATAATTCTCGAGTAGCCAATCGGTGTTTTGGTTTTGCGTCCGTTCGTACTAAGCGTTTCTGAGAAGCTTCGAGGAACAGCGTGAGTCCCAGCGTAGCAAGAGCAGGGCATTAACGGTTTATGAGACGTGGCTGACAGTAAACCTGATTGTCTTCCTTGAGTAGATGTTATACTGACACTTTTCTTCAACTCCAAGGCACACTCGTTTATCGGTGGTTCATTTTCTCTACGGGGCCACGTACTATTAGCCCTTAGAAAGAACTCTGGACCTTTCCTCCACTTAGTTTTAACCACAGTCATGTCAATAAATCCTCGCGAGGCTAGATCAGCTGGATTTTTTCCAGACGGTACGTACCTCCACTGCTCAACAGTTGTTAGTTCACAAATTTGAGATACCCTGTTATCTACAAAACATGCATATCTTGCTGACTCGCTGCGTATATTATATATCACAGACATCGAATCAGTCCAAAACGTCACGGTATACTTGGGGTAATCCAACTCTTTACACACCGTTGTGAATAACTGCGCGGCTAGTGAGGATGCAGTAAGTTCTAATCTCGGAATCGAAATCGTTTTTAGGGGCGCAACTCTAGATTTACCCATCACAAGGCTTACATCTATATCATTCCTTAAGGTGGTTCTGATGTATACTGCTGCACCAAATCCAACCTCAGAGGCATCAGAAAAAACATGGGAGTCAATTATATCATGATTTCTCGACGGCTTAAGTGGACGTGAGACGGAATGTAGATTCAGCATTCTTAAACTGTTAACCCACCCCTTCCACTCTTCTCTCTGCCTCTCACTTAATGGTTCATCCCACTGTAACCCTTTCCTGCATGTTTCTTGAAATAACCTCCTAGCCGGAAGTAGATAAGGTGCTACTAATCCAAGTGGGTCAAACACGGACGACAACACAGAGAGCACCCCTCTCCGAGTAACTGGCTTATCAATATCACCAACACTAAGCCCAAAGGTATCAGAGTTCACATCCCATCGCATACCTAATGTGCGTTCAACTGGTAGAGTATCAACAGGCAAACTATGCTTCAAAACATCTAGGCTGTTCGAGACCCACTTAGTTAGACGAAAGCTGGCCTTAGCTAACACTTCAGCTATGTCGTGAATTGGCAGAGGTAAGAATTCAAGGAGGCTAAATAATCATCCACGTAGAAGCAACAATCTATGATGTCCAGCAAATCATTAGAACCGAATGTGGACACTGCCTTTCGTAGAGCGAAATTAGCACAAAACAGGGAGGACGTGGCACCAAATGGATGGACTGTCATCCTATATTCTGACACCTTACCACAAGGACCGTCACCAACGCGCAAACGATTGCTGTGATCACGAAATACGGGCATATCAGCATGTATGAGACGAGAGAGATGGCAGCGGTGAAGCTGTCTACGGTACACAATATGTCAGAGTTAATTAGTAAATATGATCATCTTTTCACTGGAGATAGCGACCCATAGGGTAATTGCGATAAGGTGAATCATGAAATTCTGTTAAGTTATCCGAAAGTAAGGTCATTTACAACGCGAAGAGTTCCATGTCATTCGGAAGGCGAAGTTGAGCGACAAGTGCGAGAGATGTTAAAAGACGATATTATTGAAGAAGCTGATAGCCAGTGCTGTTAGTAAAAAAAAGCGAATGGGAAGTATATATTCTGTTTTGATCTTTTACAGTTAAACAGTATGACAGAATAAAGACCGTGTGCCATGCCAACAGTAGTAGAAACTTTAGACCGCCTTCAAGGCGCAAATTTGTTTTCCGTTGTCGATCTTTGCTCAGGCTACTCGCTGACACCAATAAAACAAGGTGATAGAGATAAGACGGCATTTATCGTGGGTCAGACACAATATCGATTTAAACGCATGCCGTTTGGACTAGCAGGTGCACCGTTTACGTTCAGACGACTGACGACGCCATTACTTGGGGACTTGAAAAACGTGGAAGTGTACGGTGATAATCTCGTCAAATCTCGTCAAAACGAAAGGGATCTTGTGAACCATGTAAAAGCCGTGCTGCGACGCATTGAACAGTTTGGATTGCGTGTCAACAAGGCCGAGTCTCAGTTAGCCAAAAAGAATGTTACTCTTTTGGGACATAAAGTGGGAAATGGTGAGATTAAACGATCCAAGCCCCGAATTCAAAGAGAAAGTTGAGGCAATTCTTGAGTAGAATAGCGTTTTATAGACGCTTCGTGAAGAACTTCAATGAGATAGCAGCCCCCCTGTACAGGCTACTAGGTGAGCCGAAATTTGTTTGGACGGAGGAAGAGCTGAAGGCATTCTCAGATAAGTATATCGCTGACGAGTGTTTGTTCATTTGTCGGATAGTAAACCTTTGGAATTATTATCTGGAAATGGTTTCTGCGCTTCGAACATACTCTTTGAATGACAGCGGAGACTAGGCCCAGAGAATTAAAGTAGACTGTTAGCCTTTTATACCCAACGAAAATTCTGAATCTGAAACCAGTAATTCTTTTCAACCACGAACCATATATTGGGCCGTTTTAACATTTTCATGGGAGAGGGCTCCAAAACGATACAGGATTGGATAAGTGGTTTCATTCCAGAAGTATTTTTTTTATTTACTAGTTTGTGTCAAGAAATGCTGTGCGGAGTAGCGAAGCGGACAATCAGGTGGAAGCTAAAGGATGATAGTATTGTTATCATCCACGTCTCACCTCCCTTACTCTCTCATACAGGTTCAGTACCGTATCCTTTAGATACCGTTTCTTCGAAACGCTATATCTAGGTTGTTAAAGTTTTCTAATAGGTCACTAACCAACTGACGACTTATGGCATTTGTTCTTCCTATTCTAACAGTCAGAAATAATGTTAAATAGCTAATTCAGCTTTAGAATCAGAGACTGTGAGATAGACTGACGGTCTTCTATTTGGAATTTATACGTGGCCGTAAGTATTGTTTGAATCGATCGTTAATAACGACCTTTGCCAGCTAGATTGAGCGCATTTTTGGTTAGGCACCTGGGGAAATGATTTTCCTGGTGGTTTATCTCTCTGTGATAACTTTCTGTTATGGACTTTCAGTTGAAGAGGTAATATTATCATTCTATTTTAGTCAGCTCTCAGACTTTGGAAAACAAAGTTCGCAAGATGAGTGAACTTACCGCTGCCCAATCATATATCAACCTTAATGTTGACCAGTTCACTCTTTTATTGAGGTCACAGCCTAGAAACTATTCAGTCATACTTTTATTGACGGCTTTAAGCTCTGGTAGAAATTGTGTGCCTTGCAAGTGAGTTATTCTCTTTCCTTTGTAATGTCATTCCAGACAAGCTTTTGAAGAGTTCCAAATAGTTGCTACTTCATGGAAATATTCCAAGCAACGAGATAATCGACTATTTTTTGCAGTCGCAGACTTTGACAATGCACCTGGAGTTTTTGAATCAGTAAGTGGTATAGCTAATAACCACCATTTTAGTTACATCAAGAAACTGCTCCTGCTATAATTCATGTTTCACCTAAAGGCAATATTAAGCCTGGTGACTACATGGATATTATGGTTCATGGATTTTCGGCTGAAGCAATGGTTCGATGGATAGCCGGGTTAACGCAAATTCAGGTAAGTGTCACTAGTATGTACCGACATCGTTTTAGATTCGTGTCTTCCGTCCTCCAAGTTATACCGGTACTATGCTACTAGCACTTTTCATGTCTCTCGGTGCTGCAGTCTTATACTTCCGTCGAATCAGTTTGGACTGTATATATAATCGATCCTTATGGAGTACTATATCATTGGTAAGAGATATACTTTGTTGTGTAAAACGTTAGAAATTAAATACTAAAATGCAAAACATTCTTACTTTTCATTATAGTATTACTGTAGTACTTTTATAGTTAAGCTATTGGGTGTTGATCCTATCACCTTACGTTAGTAAAAAGTTCGTGATATAAAGTGTGATGAAGTAAACTTATACTGAAAACCCTAATGATTGGTCAAACCAAAATCTGGAGTTAATCCATGAAGTAGTTGAATCATGTAGCGAAGTGTAGTTTCCATAACCAGGGTATATAGCATATATTTCAAATTCAGACTTCAGATTTATTAGTTGAGGATAGGAAGCTTGGAGCCTATGTTAATCCTTTTCTAGTAAATTTCTGTTGTTGTCCAAACTCTTCTTGAACCAATCAGTTGAGGTTGCAGATACCACTTCTTCTGGGAGTCGGTTCCAAGAGTTTATGACTCGATGTGAAAACCAGTACTCAACAGCAATATGATTTCTTCTTGGCTTTTGAACTCTCCTGCTATGTCCTCTAAGGTGTTCCGATCTGGTGGGAAGGAAAAGAAAGAACAGGTCAGGTCCGTAGTCATTATTTAAAATTTTAAACATTGTGATTAAATCTCCTCTCTGTCTACGGTATGACAGGGCTGATGACTGAAAACTCACGCTGAGGGCCATTCCTGCTTATCGTCCTAACTGCATTAGCACATTACAAGACGTGAATTTTAGAAATATATTTTCTTATGGTATCTTCGAAAGACAACATATTTATCGAAGTATTTACTTTTCAAGATCATCGGCCTATATATATATATATAATGTCTAATCTGCCTACATAGTAATGAGCTTAAAACAAGTCTCTTCAGTAAACTTGAATAGCGTTATTTAAAGACGGTGTTAATCCGAAAACTGTTTGTTAATAGTAATGTGGGCATCCGTTTTAATTATCCCAAATATTTATACTCCCTAATTGTTGCACTAATTTCCTTGGTTAATTATTATTACTTCAAGATATTGATATTGCGTAATTATTAATGACAGATCTATCACCACTAAGTCTAAATAGGATTTTCCTTTTCAACTACACTATGGTACTTTGATTTAATTTTCTTCTACCGCTGCATCGCCTTGTATTTTTTTTATTTGATATGCATGTTTGAAGTTTATAAACTTCGGCCATAACGAAATAATGTTAACTTTTAATCTGGTATTATTTTTATATTTTTATTTTTGATTACAGCTTGATTCCACAGCGTATTTTTGGTACAAGTATGGAAGTGTCAGCATGTGATAGTAGCCCAAATTTTGCGGACTGACCATAGATATCGGGTGTGCGTCGGCAGGGGATCGAACCTCGGACCATGTGCATGGTCGGCAAGAGTACTAACCACTGTGCCACCGACGCACGTAGGTTAGAATCTCATGCTTATGTGCCAGTTCGATTGTTGGAATTCACTTACGCTTTAAATAATGAGTATTCCCTTGATCAGTACTTTTTCATTGTAATTCTATAAATATACTAATATGTGTGCTACCTCGGTGGCACAGTAGGTAGAACTCTCGCCGACCATGCACATGATCCGAGGTTCTATCTCCTGCCGACGCACACCTGCTATCTATGGTCGGCCTGCAAAATTTGGGCTACCGATATCACATGCTGAAAATTCCATACTTGTACGAAAAATACGGTGTAGAATCAAGCTGTAATCAAAAATAGTAAATAAAAAAGTCACTCTTTTTCACAATTTCCACAACTATTTAATTCAACATTGTGTGTACTGAAATTATTGTGACCAGAAGTTTTAGAGAATTACACTTGATATGTGAAGCTGTCGTTCATTCGTTCAGGCGCTTAACTTTAACCAAGTAGGTCACAAGTCCGAATCCCGCTCTATCTGTCAAGGTTTGAGTAGTTTGTTAAATTACAAAATGAGTTCGGCTCATAGCCAACTGCATGGAATGATACGTGGTTGTTGAGTAACGTTTCATTTTTCACGTTTTAACACCTATTCTCAAGGTGATAAATCGAATATGAAGTAAACTGATTGGTATTTAGCAGTATGCAGAAAATAATGTGCGTGTGTGATTACGTGTTCTTTCCAAAATGTATGTGAAACGACTTTCGATGGTCAGGTAGTTGATTATATGGTTTAAAATCACGAAAAATACTCATTTATTCATAAATAAAAACTTTTTTGTTAAGCGAAGAAATTTCTTTTCACCAACTTCATTTTTGAGCTATACAAACGTATTTATATCACAGAAAAAGTGAATTGATAACAAAAAATTTTACTGTCAGGCGCTGTCTAAAAATTTTATAAATTAGGAGTATGATTACGATAAGAATAAAGATGTGAAGTGAAATGAATTCAAGCGGTAAAATAAAAACTAGAAAGAACATTACTATGATCAAGTTAAAGAAAGAGGTTTGACAAAGCGCTTTTGAACATACAATTTAGGTTTCTATTCATGAATAGCTAAAGCTTCGGCTATACATAAGTGAAGAAAACGTAAACTTTTGGGTCGATTCGATTTTGCCGTGTAGACAACCTTGAAGGATGAATCACGTGGGGTTGAATGATTGGACTCTAACAGGTGATGACAAATAGGCGACTTCGCAGTCCTACGTTCACCTTTCATGTCACCGTCGGACGCCCAACTCATCGTTTCTCACTCGAAGTTTTTCCTGGCGCGCGATGTTACCTAACGGTCCCCTCAGCGTGTGTCTGACCCATCTCCAATTTTCTTCTGCATATTTGTTGAGTCAGTAGGTTCTTAATTGGTTCGTTCCCAGAGTTTTTCTGGCTTATCATCTTATCTTCATTGTCGAGCAAAGTCAGTATTTAATAAAAGTCTCCAACCTGTTCGAAATGCTTTTCGCCATGCACCAACTCTCTCAGCCCTTGTAGGAGAACTAACTTGACATTGGTATTGAAAATCGGGATTTTGTTCCTTGTGCTGACAGAGTGCAGAAAATTTCCAAATTGCTCGACCGACAACTGCTACCTTGCCGTGGTGGTCGGGCTTGAATACCTCAGTGACCCAACAAGCTAAACTGGCTGGGACTCACGTCCCTGCAGGTCCTACCATGTCAAGAAGGTTGTTTGAATAGTGGTTAGACCAAAAGCAGTTACCATGGAGTACATGGGCTTCAGAATCCAATCGAATCAAATGGCGTATGAACCCACATAGGACACCGGAAACCATGGGAATGCAGCTCCTGACGCTGCTCCGCTGCCTTGCGGATTAGACTCCAAGTCAAAGGCTCTAGGGGGTGGTCCCTTAAGAAAACCACCTGCTTCGGTTGGGCGCCCGAGCAGTATCTCAGCACTCACACAAGTTTGGCGCATCTTTCTTGATGCCATATTGGACCAAGTTTTTTTTCTGCGTTTAAATAAATAAATAAATTGTATCCCAGCGTGTTGAAGGTCTGTCTTGCCTTTCCAATCCTGGTTTTGACATCCTCATCCGGATGGACTGCATGTATTTGAAACAATGATTCCTCGATGAGTGAATGAAGTAACCTCTTTTAAATTTCTCCCGTTGATAGTGACTGGTGCTTGTTGTTGTTGTTGTTGCTGGTTGGTTGGTTGGTTGGTTATCTCCATCACCTGAAGTCCTGTGTTTAGTGCCAGCTTCTTCAGCTAGTTTGTTGGTTCTCACCTTTATCTCGTGAAATTTATGTCTGTCTGTTTTCGACATAGAACTTTGCACATATGTGCACCAGTTCAAGTCGCCACACTCCTTCCACATGTACCACACAAAGCAACAGAAGAAAGTAGAAGAAATGCATAATAGAGACAGTAAACAGAGGTGTGAGACAAAGGTATAGTAATAACGGAGAACAGTATAGTTTCATCGGAAATCATAAGTCACAAGGAGTGGATGCATCTGTGCCATTGAGAACGATTTTGAGCCATATCACCAATTGTTTCCAGCCTTCATTGGTTTCTACCTTCCCGAGGACCCCAACCAATCAGGAAGTCTACACCTTCCTACGTGGTTGGTGTAAACTAACTGTTGTAGATTTCATTGACTGGTAATGCCATGTTTTGGTTTGACTGCCATGTGCTAGCTCTTTTCCAGTCTGATCCATCTTATGTCAGCTAACATTGCCCGTCAGTCGAGGAACGCGATGACTAGTCATGCATGCGTAACGCATGTCCTAACCATCTCATTCAGTCGATGTAATTTCAAAGCCTCGTTGACTGATTTCCCCTCCTTACCTGACACTCGACGCCTAACCTCAATATTGCTCACCTTATTATACCACTTCACACGGGAGATAGAACGCAGGCACCTATGTAACATTAGAAATAAACCGTTTAGTTAAATATTAAGTTGATTCAATCTACAATCTATTGATTTTTTCTAGTTCTAAGTTTGTTACTTTATTTTACTGCCATGGTTTACCATGCATTCCAGAAGAATACTGTTTTCATTTTTTCATTGTTGATAAGTTCATATTAATGATTTTGTTTTCGTTTGTTTTTTCTTTTCTTTTTTACATTTTATAAAGGGTGTTATTTTTTGTGCTATTTCCGGACAAGTCTACAATCATATTCGTGGACCACCACTTTTCCATGCTCCACCACCAAAGGGTGAAATTGTAAGATGAAAGAAAAAATTTTTCATTAATTATTTCTTCTTTTTTACAGAAAGCTTTTATCTACGGGGGTTCTGATTACCAATTTGTTGCAGAGACATTCATTGTCATGGCACTGTGTATCCTTAAAAAGAGTTTTTTTTAAAAAATTTCAAAATATATACTCCATATTGCTTTTTTGATGTGTGTGTGTGTGCGTTTAAAATAATAGTAATAATAATGATAGCTTTATTCTGAACAATGTTTATACAGAATGTACAGAATTTTAAGCGCAGTTTATTGGATGCTTATTTTCTCTTCATCCAGGATCTTCAAATCAAAAGTCTGATAAACAGTAGATCGTGTGACACAGTTCTTTCTATTCTGATCACCTAAAACGCAAACCAATCCGTCATTATGATATGCCTTTTCAGCGAAAGTTAAACTTTCAGCACCACTAACAACCAATCAGCAAACGACATTCACATGAAAGAGGCATATATGATAAATGGAAACGTATATTTATAGAAAAAAAAGCATAAAACTGTTATAGGGGATATCTTTCCCTAACATGTGAGAGAAACATCTCCCAGTTAAGCATCGGACTGTCAATAGAAAAGTTACACCACATTCTGCACACATATTCATCCAAATGACTATAAATGAGATCCATTTATAGCCCTCATCCTATTTTTCAACCTGCCCCAAAATCCTTCAATAGAATTTGTATGTGTCCTTGTAATGGGCTCGACACCACTTGAATTGTTGACTCTACGATGAATATATCCCCGAGATGACAGAGAATTGCAACCTTTCCACTCGTCCGTATGTATTATAGATCCCCGTTTTACAAGTCTTGTAATAATAGGTATTAGAGTAGTTGCTTTTCTATCTGCTATCCTTTCCACGAATCCCTCTTGGAGGGAGGTGTCATACCCAAATATTGTTCGCTCGCTGACTACCACGGTTGTATTTCTTCTTCACCAACACAGTTTCATCGACGCGCACAACAATGTCTTCTCCACCCAATAAAGAAGTAATTTTCTCCATTTTCCACGAAGCAATATCTCTGCAATGCTGATACCATTGAATTATTGACACGAGACTATTCTCCGTTTCACCAGCTACGGCTCTCACCGGCTGTTTCAAGACCCAGTAGTTGCAGATATACAAAATTTGCGTTAAGGAGAGATCTGATCTTGCAAAAAAGTTCCTAGGAGATATTAAAATTATCAGCTTACCTCTTCTAACGCTAACTCGTCTCAAAAAATTGCACAACGATGAATATATGCATCAGTCGACCTGCTAAAGCTTTTTAAATTCATCACGCCACCACACGAAAAAATTCCTTCTTTTCGAAGCAAGCCTAAATCCAGGCAATCCTGGAAAACAGTATCCTCCTCGAATTGCAACCGTAACCTCGTTAGGGCACGCATTTGAAATGAATCAAGCACTATACAACATTGAACTAACGTTCGTGAATCTCATTGGATAATTTGACGTCGTTCGCTGATTGGTAGTTGGCGGTGCTTAAAGTTTAACCTAGCCCCTTTTCATTTCCTCCTTCAAGAAATACACGACATAAAATTATGTTGAATACCAATCATAAAATGTTCAGGGGTGCATTTTTTGTAAGCCAAAGACACCACACCACTCAAGAACGATCATCTATCTCATTTACTAGGATAAGCTAGCTACCATTGGAGGCATAATATGCTTTTTCTCATGTTTAGTATAGAAACCGTTAGTTTTAAATACTCACCAGAGTAAAGAATGCTATTAGAGGTCATATTTTATTATAGATTTATTTTTACGAGTTGGTCACGGATTGATATCAGTTAGAGAACCATTGGAAATCAGTACTTCCTGGTTTTCAATGGTTCTCTCTCTGATTCTCGTTGGTGACTTGCTACAGGATGAAGTTCTAGTGAGAAGTCGTGGCCAGTGAGGTCCATCCAAATGTCAAATGTGAGGATGGATATCCCACTGATGACATTGGTTGGGGTCGCGCTAAATCACGAATTAGTAGAACTTAGAATTCCTGGACTGGTCATTGAATCGGGTCCTAGTGGCTGGATGGTATATGAGTTTGCCTTGTAACCTGCAGGTGCTGGCTTCGAACCCCCTGTGGTGGATGCGTACTGCTGATGATTCCCATAATAGGATGAAACGGCAGCTGTCCAGTACTGTAGTGCTGGTTTTCTAACTGATATCAATCCGTGATCAACTCGTCAAGACAAATCTAATCCTTACAAACCAACCATAGAAAACTATAGATTTGAAAAGAATGAGTCAGACACAAACTATACGCAGCATATATGGTGATTGGTGTTTTTGTTAGTCCAAGTTTTAAGCAGACCAGACCGCTTATATATGTGCTACAATCCTTAACCAGCTTTTATATCATATCACACACCCACACACATGCATATTAGATATGGGATGTTCAGGTGGAATTCTACTTATGAGTGAAGTTGGTACAACTACTGATCCTACAAAACAAAAAGGTATTTTTTTTCCTTCTTATCTGGTTTGCATTTTTTTCTTGTGTTTGTGTGTGTGTGTGTGTGTGGTTTATCCTATTTCTGTGATGCGTTTTGATTTTTATGAAGTATATTAAATATTCACATAGTAAAATTTACAACAAAACATTTAAGCGAACAATATTGTGCTTTCAATTAGATCTCATCAGGCTTAACTCTAATACACACACATAACTTTACAAATAAAAATTCAAATATGAACTAATCATGGTGTTTTGTGTATAGGATAATAAAATGGTGAATATAAATTGTGCAATTAGTCATAATAGTAGGAATAATGATAATGGTTGTATCAATAATAAGGATGAAAATGTGAGGCAATCTGTGATAACACGAATGATGAAAAAACACCATGATTAAACAAACAAATGTTCAGGTGGAAGTAGTTGATAAAGGCTAGTAAAAACAAATGAACCGATTAAGTAATGCTAGACTGATTGTAAGGGAAGTAAATGAAACGCTTATAATGAAGATGTGATAAGATTAAGGGATGATAAGAAAGGGAGAATGATTGGGACACAAACGAAGGATAGATAGCTAGATAGTTTTGCCACATCTATGTGCATTTATCAATTCAACTGCACCTGCGGTGACAGTTATGTTGGGCGTACTACTAGACAGCTTAGCCAACCAATGTGTTAGTGAACATCTCCCATTATTGTAGTTTAGCAAAGGACAGACAAAAACAATCCGTAGCTCAATTTTGTCACACTTAATTGATAGTGGTCATGTAGTGGAGAAAACAAGAGCCTTCAAAGTAATTCATCATATCTCACCGAATATTTCCAATAGACTTCGTATTCGTCTACTGAACACAGCTGAGGCGATAGGCATTCGAACTATTAAACCTACTAATGACTTTTATACCACCCCTTTCTAGTAATCCCTTAATCTTATCACATCTTCAATAAAAACGTGTTTCACTGACCTCCCTTACAGTCAGTCTAGCATTACTTAATCGGTTCATTTGTTTTTACTAGCCGTTATCGACTACTATGTCTACCTGAACATTTGTTTGTTTGATGATAGTGTTTTTTCATCATTCGTGTTATCACAGATTGCCTCACATTTTCATCCTTATTATTGATACAACCATTATCATTATTACTACTATTATGACTAATTGCACAAGTTATATTCACCATTTTATTATCCTATAGACAAAACACCATGATTGGTTCATATTTGAATTTTTATTTGTAAAGTTATGTGTGTATATTAGAGTTAAGCCTGATGAGATCTAATTGAAAGCACAATATTGTTCGCCTAAATGTGTTGTTCTAAATTTCATTTGTCTTCATTCTATTCATTTGCTTTTCGAGTGGAATATAGGGCTTCTTCAGGCTTTTGAGCTCTGAGGTCTTATCGGGTTCTCTACTTCGGCCAGGTGAGGCATAAGAGTGCGTCTGTCGGGGCTCGAATCCGGGACCATGTGAGGGGTGGTTGGTTTGTATTCTGCCATTGAACTATCCGCCGACACACTTTTTCAGACGATACTGTCTGTGCGTGCTGAATTCAAAGTGAAATCAAATTCGTGACTTACGCTTAGCACAGATGATAATATATAATTGTTGGATGGTGACTAGCAGTGGAATCCAGGATAACGCGCATTTCGTCCTATTTAGGACTCCTCATCTGGATGTACCTGTATTCCCCAATGGGTGATGATGTCTCCACCGAGGCTTGAATCCAGCGCACAAGAATCTGACATGTCAACCTGAGACCGAGCACTTCGGTCCAATCAATCGACGGGAAAATCTAAAATTCGATCAGATAATTAATATTACCCGTTGCACAAGAAGTGGGCTGACTCTCGTCACCAAAGTGGTCTAGTGAATAACGCTGTAGCGTTTAAAACTATGGGCACTGGGTTCGAGCCTCGGTGGGAACATCATCACTCACTGAGAAATCCAGGTACATCCAAATGAAGGGCCCCAAATAGGAAGAAATGCGCATCCCGGTAGATTCCACTGCTAGTCACCATCCATTAATCAAATTCTAATCATATGCCCAGGCATCATCGAGGCGTCTGCACAAGAAGCCGACATGTCAACCTGAGACCGAGCACTTCGGTCCAATCAGTCGATGGGAAAATCTAAAATTCAATTAAACAGATGATAATATTTGATCTGTTTGATACTATAAATGACAATTATGGCTCCATATACTACTGATTAGTTGAAATGAGTAGTAGTTTGTTGCCAATGAATACCAATCAGTAGTGTTTATCAGTTCAGCCAACCACGGAGCAGATTAATCGAAACACAACAGCCGAAACTTGTGTGAATAGCGAAGTCGATTGAATGAACTACCAGTTCGCCCAATTATATCATTTCAGCTGGAGTTTGGATTGTTTGAACTAATACAGCTGTCTCTGAGATGAGTCGAATCGGGTGCGCCGCTGATGAGCTCAGCCACCTTTCCTGTGTATAGATCACTCCGATCTGGCTGGCTGGCAAGTACTACTGTGATTGGCGTCAAATTACACTCTTATTCCACTGCCTCATTTGTTAAAGTACATCCACAAATACGAACGTGTATACGCTGCTGAGACAAGCGTTAGCCATTAAGATACTAAAAGTAAAATATTAGGAGGAATTTCCCCCTGTACTACTTACTGCCTACCTACTGTATATAGTTATGTAACTAGATATATGTTCACCTCGACTAACAGTCAGTGTGGGTCATAAGTTCGAGTCCTACCCCATCTAATTTAGCCAAGGGACAACTGGGTAGTGGTGGTACTATCAGCCCTCGCACACACACACACACACACACACGCCAAGTATGACTCTTAGCTTGGGTAACTGAGGAGAAACAAATAAAAACAAGACATGCTAAACTAAAGAAAATCATTCAAAAAATTGTCAAGTTTCACAAACACACACTCTCTCTCTCTCTTACTTTCACATCGGGTCGCGTCTTTTTTCTTCAAGCATCATAAGTCACCAATGACGCGAAAGCTTCTAGAAAAAAAAAGCCGAAAGTTAAGTGACTTTTGTAACTGCGACAATATTTGGGGAGCAGGGTGGTGTTGTGTGGTGTGGTGATCCTCATAACTGTAACAACATTTTCTCTTTTCTTACTATAGACTCTGATATATTGGTGAACTGTATGGAAAGAAAGAATACGAATTTTAATGGTGATAGTACCTAATCAATACATTGATTGAAGTGGACGACATTTTCTCTTTCATATCGATTCATATGTAGACAACTATAGACGACACCAGTTTGTCTGAGAAAATGTAGAAATTTCTAACTGTGGAAACACCAAAAGTGTAATGCCAAGGAATTTCTGTCTGTCTGTCTGTTTTCGACATAGAACTTTGCACATATGTGCACCAGTTCAAGTCGCCACACTCCCTCCACATGTAGAACACAAAGCATGAGAAGAAAGTAGAAGAAATGCATAATAGAGACAGCAAACAGAGGTGTGAGACAAAGAAATAGAAGTAACGAAGAACAATATAGTTTCACTGGAAATCGTAGGTCACAAGGAGTGGATGCATCTGCACCAGTCATTGAGAACGATCACTTTGAGCCATATCACCAATTGCTTCCAACAATTGGATTTTACCGTCCCGAGGACCCCTACCAGTCAGGCAGTCTATGCCTTCCTACGTGACGGGCTTAAACTAACTGCTGGAGATGACTAGACATACGTATCACATATCCTAACCATCTCAGTCGATGTAATTTCACAGCCTCGTCGTTTGATTCCCCCTCGTTACTTAGCACTCGACCCATGCCTAACCTCAATACTGTTCACCTTATTATACCACTTCACACGGGAGATGGAGTGCAGGCACCTATGATTAAAGACTGCTAACCGGCCTCTTCATGTCTTCCACTCTCAATGACCAGGTCTCACTCACAGCCATGAAGGAGAACGAAGCAGACTGTTGAGCAGTACACACGCCCTTCGGTTGATAGCCAGCAGGATATCACGTCTACTAAGTCAGAGACGGCGTAAACTGACATATGCGAAACTAGCTCCAAGGAATTTCTAGAAGCCCAATACTCAGACGAACAAATTACTGATCAACAGACACATTATTATTGGATCAAATTTCTATATCAACTAATAAAGAATAAACGACATGACAAAAATGAAGTCAAATTTCAAGTCAATAAAAACGATCAACACTAATGGAAATCAACAACTAATCACAACAATTATATATATCATTCATGGAGGATTCAAAAATAAGTTTGACACTTCCGTTTGAAGTTAACTCTGAAGCGATGTTATCAAGTTGAAGGACAGATAATAATGATGAAAGCTTCTTGGCAATCAAACTCCTACCTAGCTTAGACAATGCAACCATATCAAAACGTAGTAATAGTGTTCACGTACCAGGCCAGCCATCAAATAGGAATACCAATAGGAAAATGATGATATGATGGATAAGATTTGTAGCTCAGGTGGATGATTTTGATGTGTTTGTGTTCTCTGAGCTGGATAGTTAATTTATGAAGCGATACTCTTCAAACCTCTAGGAATCGACGTCGCATACAAACCAACAAAATCACTTCACTCAGCTGGCTCTATGTCAACCAAAAGACTTAATAACGAAATAGGATAAGACCAACATCATCTACAAAATAGATTGTAACAACTGCGAAAAACACTACATTGGCCAAAGTGGACGTCCTCTTCATCTTCGTATCCACGAACATAAGATAGCCGTCAAAAGACATGACATCCACTCCCTCATATCACTACATACAGACAATCACGGACATCAATTCGACTGGGACAATCAAACCAACGTTCAAATATTAGACAGAGGAAACACCAAGGATGCCAGACAATCGTTTTAGAAGACTGGTGGTATTCCTGTGAATCATCAATGAACAGACACATCGAGGTAGACAAAATTTATCAACCAATAAGAAAGAAACCTCACACACAAGGGGTCAAAGTTCAAGTCAAAGGAACAATCAGTTCCAATACAAGTAGCCTAGAAGGTGTGAAACTAATCACACCCAAAGTCACTGGGAGAGATGATTAATAAACTCGTGGAGAAATCTAAAAGCTCACTTCAACAAATTGAAGTAATATGCGCTGAAGATGTCGCCTAGTAGGGGGCGATGAAAGCTTCGCAAATTAACTATTCAATCCAGCTCAGAGATGGGGAAGATGGAAGCTTACAGGCAATCGTGGAGCCATCTAGTGGAAGACTTGAGACAACAGAGTAAGACGAAGATGTGCCTCGCCTCCCCCCCACCACCTAAAGCCCTGTATTCCATTCAGAACACAAAGAAACAATAGTCAAAATAATATAAAAGATGTATGCCAGTTACTCCTGACACGTACCCGTATTATATTTAACAGTATCTATTTTCATAATACAAGTTGGTCATGTTGATTTCTCCTTTTTATTATTTATTTCGTTTTTTAATTTCAACAGTTTGTACAATATCTGGAATCGCCCTGTTTATGATATCGATCAATCTGATCTTGTCAGTCTTTCGTAAGAAATATCCAAGCTATCCATATGGGTAAATTGAATTAGATTTGTATTTATTATTATTATTATTATTATTGCTCCCTTGGGTTCCTAGTGGAACATAGGGCTTCAACTGCACGTCTCCATTTTCTTCTGTCTTCTGCTATACTTTTCGCCTGCATCCATGTTAATCAATATTCTTTCAACTCCTCTTCACACGATCTCCTCCATGTCACCCTTGCACTGACGTCCCACACGCCGCTTCCCTTTCGGCCTGGTTCCACTCGAGGGCTTGACGCGCCATATCACTAACCGGCCTCCTCAGCGAGTGAGTGTCCAATCCATCCATCTCCACTTTCTCCTGCATATTTGTTGGGCGATTGGTTCTTGCTTTGTTTGTTCCCATAATTCCTTGTTGGTGATTCTTTCCGACCATCTGATCTTCAGTATTGAGCGAAGACAGTTTTTAATAAAGGTCTGCAACCTTTTGGAAATATTCTTTGTGACCCGCCAAGTTTCTGATCCGTATAGAAGAACTGACTTTACGTTTGTAGTGTTGACAAAACAAATTGTCATTTAAAAAAATATTTGCTTTTCATCCTACTGGATAAGTTTTTTTTTTGATATAACTACTAACACTTAAGGACGAGGATATAGTATTAATAACTCGATAACATTGTTTGAAGGAAAATTTATTACTGCTCATCATCATTACAATATGTAGTCATCACAGTCACAGGGCTTGATATCTCGCTTATTTTTCCCCATGTTGTTGTTGTTGTTGTTGTTGCAATTTTCCACATATATGTCCGGTATATTTATTTAGACGCTCTTAGCGTTGCTGCGAAGAATGTTCTTTTCAAAGACTCTGAAATTCTTCTCTTGAGTGAATAATATCGCAAGCTAAGAGTCTCCTTTGAAATCCAGATTTATGTGAAGTTTCCTTTTTAAAACAAGTGATGTTTTGGTTCCTTTGAACATTTGGTTTGATATTCATTTTGGAGGAAGGTTACTTTCAGAAGATCAAGTTCTGCTTCCAGGGCGTCAGGAATCCAGATTCGTCAGATCCGATTGGCAAGGGATTTAATCGTATTTCGTTTCCTGTCAGTAGGTGGTACCCAGCTGTAGAAATTTGTTAGTTGACCGTTCCAAGTAGGTTTTCCATCAGGCCGTCTTGTTCATTGCACATCAAGAAAAGGAATTTTTTTGATTCGTATTTCATTTCTAAAGTGAATTTTATTGTCTGATGACAGCTGTTCAATATTTTTTAGAAAAACTGATTTTGGTTATAACTGTTGTCGGAAAACGACAAAAATGTATCTTGTGTACAATTGCAAATTATCAATGGACGACTTGAGTCTGCTGTTCTCAAGGCTAACCATGAAGAGCAGTCTGCTAGTAATGAAGCCAAAGGAGATCCCACTGCAATACAGTCCTTTTGTTTGTAGATGGTGTCGTTGAAAGTAAATTGTGCACTGAGAGAGTGCACCTCAGTACACATACAAAAATTATTATTATTACTTCCTTTAATTCCTACAGGAACATAGGGCTTCAGCCGAACGCCTCCATATATATATATATATATATATATATCATATGATTATGAGCAATAAATTGTGCTCGAAACGTCATCAGTAAACATTACTGTATAACACTGTGAGACTTTATCAAGACAAAATTTACCCATAATGGAATGTCACTTGATGGTTTCCTCAGAGTATGGCCAGTCCACCTCCATTTCTTCCTGCCTATTTGTTGCACAATCTGTCCCTGCTGTGTTGGTTCGCTCATTGCCAGAAATCCCTGTTACTGATCTTTTCCGGCTATATGATCTTGAGTAGTACTGAGGGAAGACAGCTGTTGATGAATGTGTGTAGTTTGTGTGAGGTGCTCTTTATGACGCGCCAAATCTCTAATCCATCTGTATAGTGAGTAGCACTGACTTCACATTGGAGTTGAAAATCCCGATCTTATTTTCATTTTCATGCCGAGTGCTGTTGACCTCCACACAGACTTGAGAGTAATGAAAGCTTATCTTGCTTTCCCGATTTTCGCTTTGATATCCTCGTCAGTTCCGTCTGCCTGTAGTTGAAACGATGCTTCCCAGGTAGGTGGATAAAGGAGTTTGTTTCTTTCAGGTTCATCCCATTTATTCTGGTTGATTGTCGTCTGTTGTTGTTGCTGTTACTGTTGGCCAGGAATCCTCATCACGTCTGTTTTCTCTGTGTTTACTTGGAGTTCTACCTTTGATGCTTCTCCTATCTCCAACTTCTGTTGCTTTTCGCGTGCACATCTTCCAATTTGTGTAAAATCAGACATATGAAATCGGTGAAGTCCAGATCCTCCAATTTTTTCGTGAGGGTCCATTTTATGCCTGTTTTCTCGCTGCACGCTGTCTGTCGCATTATCGAAGCTACTGCAATCAGGAAAAACATTGGCGATAGTAGACAGCCAGCTTGTCTTACTCCCGTCTTCACTTCTTAAAAGGATTCCGTGAGTTTCCCGTTGTGGATTACTTGGTATGCAACACTGTCGTACAGCTGTTGGATGAGATGTATAATTGTCGGCGGCACCCCTTGGTAGTAGCGAAGTAGTTTCCAAATGACCTCTCGATCGACGCTGCACTATTGAAGGCCTTTTCAAAGTCGATGAAGTTAAGTGAGGTGGAGAGATGATTGCCATTCCAAGCTTTGTTCAATGATGATCCGTTGTGTGGTGATTTGATCATTGCATGACTTGTTTCTCCTGAATCCAGCCTGTTCCGGTCAAAGGTTTTCTTCCAGCATGGCTTGTTTGATTCTCTCGAGGATGACGCGGCTTAGTATTTTGCTTGGGATGGACAGGAGCATAATTCCGCGCCAGTTTTTGCTCTGACTTAAGTGTCCTTTCTTTGGTAGTTTGAATAAGTATCCTTTGTTCCAATCCTCGGGTACTTTGCCCTCCTTCCACACCTTCTCCAGCAATGGCGTCATCAAGTCCGCTGTTGTCTCTGGGTCCATTTTCAATGTTTCTGCTGGGATTCCATCTGGTCCTGCTGCTTTTCCAGCTTTTAGCATCTTGATTGCCTTCAGGACATACAAAAATAAGTATGTATATAATTGATATTGTACAGCTCAACTAAGTGGATGAATTCGCTGCTGAGAAGACACTCTTCTCTGAACTAAATGTTTTATTTTCACAAATATCTGTTTTGGGTGGGGGTGGCGTGGTTATTCATAAATAAATGTGAAGTAAACTTATCGGCTGTAAAATTATGTTCTCCCACTTAGAGTGCTCAAATTTTACACTTTAATTTTACTTTCTCTCTCTCTTTCTTCCTCTTTCAATAGGTTATTTTTCAGATGAATTAATTACGCCATTGATCTAGTAAATAGTGGATCATGGATGATGGGATAGTGTCTCTCTCAACGTTTGCGTGTGTGTGTGTGTCTATGTGTGTGTGCGTGCAAGTCGTGTATCGTGTGTTATTTTTCTTTTCTTTGTTTTTGTTTCTTTGCGAATATGAAAGACATTGTTTTTATTATCTTTATTTTTATTATTATTATTGTTATTACTATGACTATTTAGTTAAAGTTATTTCTGTATAGTGGGTATCGTAATAATAGTAATAATAATAATAATCTCTAGTGTTCTTTGTTGAAATATGATTGGTTGCGGATTAGATCATGGGTTTATATCACTTAGAGAGAAGCATTGAGAGCCAGGGATGCCTGGAAAGTCGGTTCGTCTTGGTCTGGGATTCTTCACCAGTATGTCACCCCCCTCCATCAAGGGTCGAACGCAGAATCTTCAGGTTTCAAGACAAGCTAGTTGGCCTTTCAGCCACTGGGACCGAATCCAATTATTTGTGGCGACTTGAACTTCCGCACATTTGTGCAAAGTTCTATGTCGAAAACAGACAATTATTATTATTATTGTTCCCTTGGGTTCCTAGTGGAACATACGGCTTGAACTGCACGTCTCCACTTGCTTCTGTCTTCTGCTGTACTTTTCACCTGCATCCATCCATGTTAGTCCATACTGTTTCAACCAACTCCTCTTCACACCATCTCCTCCATATCACCCACCCTTGCACTGACGTCCCACTCGCCACGTGCTTCCCTTTCGGCCCGGTTCCACTCGAAGAATGGCCTGACACGCGCGCCATGTCACTAACCGGTCTCCTCAGCGAGTGAGTGTCCAATCCATCCATCTCCACTCCATCTCCTGCTGCATATTTGTTGGTTGGCGATTGGTTTGTTCTTGTTTTGTTTCATAGTTCCCATAGTTTCTTGTTGGTGATTCTTTCCGACTCGGCCCGGCCATCTGATCTTCAGTATAGATCCAGTGAAGAAAGTTGTTGGTTGATAAAGGTCTGCATGCAACAGGCTGTTGGAAATATTCTTTGTGACCTGCCTGTCAAGTTTCTGATCCGTATAGAAGAACTGATTGACTTGACGTTGTTTGTATTGAAAATCCGACCGAATTTTGTTGTTGATGCTGGCTGAGTGTCGAAGATTCCCAGATTGGTTTCAGGTTGATGATGAATGTGTTTCTCACCTCCTCGATTTGAGATCGTCGTCCGTTCCTCCTTTGGTTGAGACAATGCTCAATGCTAGATAAGTGAGTGAATGAAGTGACCTCTTTCAAATCCCTCCCGTTGATGGTGATTGTAGCTGGATGTTGCTGTTGTTGTTGTTGGTTGGTTGGTTATTTTCATAACCTCCATCTTGTTCATCTATGTTCACCTGGAGTCCTGTCTTCTCTGGCTGCTTCTTCGACCAGTTTGTCGGTTGGTCGAACCCAATAGGGTTCATACATTTCTAACTCTTCTGCCATTTTGTAATGTATAGCATAACCAACACCAGGTAATGTCATTTGTGAGTATTTTTTTCTCCTCAGATGGGTGCATATCACGGAGATGTCTCAGACTAATGTGAAACTGATTTAATTGGCTTCAAGTTTGGGGGCGAAAATGATCAGGCTTTCGAATCTCAGAAAAGACATTAGTTCTTTTAAGGCTTCTGATACTGTGCTTGCTGTGACAAGTACCGAAAAGTATGCAATCTACATCTAAAAGGCTTCTTGTTGATTGCCTACAACCGTCTAAGAACATAACCATTTGGAGTGTATTCGGAGCGATGGCGAGTCACTCAGCATGATGATCACACTGTAAACTTGACTGATAGAATTCATTCTACAGAAAACAAAGGATTAGTTAGACTCATGACACTGGTTACTCCTTAGTGTCCAATCAATAAGAGAAATATTGAAAATCAATAAAGAGTACTGGATATCTGTTTCAGCTTAGTTTGGGATTCATGTGTAGTACGTACTTCTAAAGAGTTGCAAACAAAGATGAAACAGTTGTGTCAGTGCTTCCCTGTTTTAAACGCTTCTCTCATCGATGTTTCAGTTCGTCAACTAGTAAACGTTCAGGCCTACCCCAAAAGTATGGTGGAGGTATGTAGATGACACATTCACTGACCTTAGAATACAAGATATAGATAGATTTTTCGAATACATCAACTCTAAGGTAGAGGTGATTCAATAAACTTATGAATTGGAAAGTCAAGAAGGGGAACTTCCAATGTTAGATTTCAACGTAAAAAGGAAAGAAGATGGGAAGTTAAACACTAGTGTTTACAGAAAACCCACACATTCAAACAGATATTTGGATTTCGGATCATCCTATCGTATGTCAATGAGAATAGGATTGGTGAAATTTGTAAGTGACAGAGCACAAAAACTAAGTGGTACCAAGGAAAATCTAAGACAGGAAGTGATACATATGAGAGAAGCCTTGAAACTTAATAATTACCCTGATAAATTAGTCAGGAAATATGTAAGTAAATATAAAAATAAAATAAATAATGATAACAGAGATAGTGATGATAATAATATTAGTGACGACACCAACAATAAGGAATCTAAATCGTGAGTAGTAATTCCATACAAGGAAGGAACCTCGGAAACCACCTTACAGAGAATTCTTAGCAATACGAGCAGGAATAAAAGTGGCTGATATTCGAACCCACAAACTCAATCAGAAACAAGCTTTATCGGTTAAAGGATCAATCCTGTGCAGCCTTTAAAACAAAACAATTTAGTTTTTCTAATACCCTGCCTGCTGGAATGATTGTCAGGTCAAATACATAGGTCAAACTAGTGGAACAGGTGCAGTCAGACTCGTCGAACATAAAAACCTAGCAGCAAAATCTAGATTGGTTGACCTGAATAAGATAAGAAATCTAGAGAATAGTTCAGCTATGCAACTCACTACATGCAATTACACACAACCATATAATAGGCTGGATGGGATAAGATGGCAGTTTTAAAATCGAATGTCACAGGGTGAATACAGGCAGAGATTGATGACAGCAGAAGCTTTGTTCATCGAATCAACTGCAAATACATGTAGTATGAATGATTCAACATCTGTCCAGTTGGAGATCTGGAAAATTCTACTAGCCCTACGACGACAAATAGGAGAAGACAAAGAAAACTATAAAACTCAAGTTTCAAAGTCGTGTGATTACAATTGATATGATTATGAGCCGTAATAAATTGTGTTCGAAACCATGTCATCCAGTAAACAATACTGTTTCACTGTGTGATTTATCTAATAAAATAATATGGAATTACTTACTACCACAGTGCCCAAGTTTTACACATATATTAACTAGTAATTATGTTGTATAGTTTTTAGCTTCTAAATATAAAACATTGCTAAAGCCGTTTCAAAACGAAAGTAAAAAATAATCGAAGGGAGTTATCCTGCTCAAAAGTTTTCCAGTGTAGCAGACTACTTACTACTGGGCTCACAATATGGGACGGTCTGTCACATAATACTCGGTCGCCATGGTAGCAGTAAAGCTGTAACAGCAGAAGACAAGACAAAGCAAGTGATCAAACAGCTAATTTATATTGATATCAAAACACTCAGCTCTAACATTTTTAGTCCCATTAGAAATCATTCAAACTCTAGGCTAACTAATTCATATGATATGAAAAAGAAACTAACTGATATTCATATCGTGGGAAATACGCATTAAGACATTAGAAAGAAAAGAACACAAAGTTCAGCAAAGATATTTGTCTTTTTGGCGATTTCATTTTCGAAAGCAGCTCTACAATCACATTTAATTACATAATTTTACATAGATACAATTTCGTTTTACTTGATTCTGCATAATTACAAAGGCGAATAAAAGGTGACAATTATTTTCATCAATTAGATATGGTTTGCGAGGAGAGGCTTAGAAACAAAATTACACACAGGATTAGAACAAATTACAAGTGTGTAAACAAAATAAGCATGGAAATGAATTGACATTCAACTAGAGAATAATGAAACAGCGGTTAATTTTGATATAACCAGTCTTCGATACTCATATGCCAATCAATACAGCCTTAGAAGCAGTTAGAAGAGAACTAACTGCAGTTCCTAAACTTAAGAACTCATAGGACAAAGCTTCCCAATGGGAGAATTATTTTAGGAATTCGTTTATACCTCACATCTACTATCTTTAAATTCCAGGGCAAAATATATAGACAAACAGATGGTGTAGCAATTGTTGGGTGGATCACCGATATCCCCTATCGTGGCAGATATCTTTATGGACAGCTGGGAAAATAGTGCTCTTAATACATTTAATCCTATTCCGAAAATATGGTAGAGTTGTGTGGATGACTGACACTTTCACTCAAAGTGTTAAAAACAGAACATATCTCTCTATAGCTTCTTGACGCATACAAACTCACTAGTAAAGTGAATAAAATTCACATTTTAGTCAGAAAATGAACGAGGAGAATTAGTTGTTTTAGATTGTAACATAAAATGAACAGAAGAAGGTCAACTGCACACTAGCGTCCATAAAAAGCCAACGCATTCTAATAGATATTTAGACTTTCATTCATTTGATCCGTTGTCTGTAAATGCTGGCTTAGTTAAGTGTCTAACAAACCAAGCAATAGCACTAAAAAGACCTAAATTGTGAAATAAAACAGATAGAAGAAGAAACATTGGTGTTAAATAACTATCCTATAAAATTCATTAGGAAGATAAGAAAAGGTCGAAAGCAAAATAAGGGAGAATATAAGTAATCTACAGTTATACCATATAAGCAGAGGACATCTGAGAGCCTACGTAGGATTCTCAATAAAACAGGAATTAGAGTGGCATTTAAGCATACAAACTCACTGAGAGACAAGCTCTGTAGGCTAAGCCCGACCGAAAGCTGCTACCTTGACGTGGTGGTCGGGCTTGAACACCGCAACGTCCCAACAGGCTATGCTGGCTGAGACTTATGTCTCTTGAGGTCCTACCATGCCAGAAAGGTTGTTTGGATAGCGGTTAGACAAAAAGCAGCTACCCAATCCAATGCTATGACTCAAACAAAATATCATGCCGGGTCGGTCGGGGCCCGGACTAACAACGATCTCGCTTCCTGCTGCTGTGTCACAGGTCAGAAGTGATAAATATGCTACTGAGATACACCAAAAAAAACAGGCCGTGTGTGACCGGCATCAAGCAGTTGTCCCCTGGGCTCTGCGGTCACGCAACCAACTTCCACGGTGTGGGCAGCCGGGAAGTAACAATCGCCCTCACAATCCGAAATGCACACGAAACCTCTCTAATACTCACT